GTTGTGAGGGACGTTTCTTGTTGACCGAAAACACAACTAGCGAAGAGAGTTGGAAACAACCCTGCTATGCAAAACTTGGTTTGGAGACCGGTTACACCTGTACAGTAAGAATCACGGTCAAAACGCCCACAACGCTTTTCAGAGATCACTTAACTGACCACGTCTCATGTTCTCATTCGGAGCCTTGCCTGCATTTTTAAGTTAAGAGACAGGCACGTTGCAGGAAAGAGCCTGGAGCTGCAGATGAGCGAACGACGGGCGGAAAAAAAAAAAAAAAAAAACCAAACAGGGCAACGGGGCAACTGAACAGCTGACTGCTTTCCTCATTCAGGCCCAGTTCCGTAAAAAGACAAGCCTGCACGGTATTCTCTTGAGCAATACACACACACACACACATACAACTATGTCTCCTTTAATGTTTGCACTACACAGACACAATCATTTTTAATAATAATAAAAAAAAGACATATTGTTGCAATTAAATGGGTAGTCGACGACAAACGCAGATTTAAAATCTTTCCACAAATTTACTTCAGAAAACCCTTTAAAGCACAGAAAGGATCTCTTTTTAAAGTTGTTGAGTAATTTTGGAGAACTTCAATATGTAGTTTTAGATTGTAGATATATATATTTTTTTGCTCTCATTAGAATATTTAAGTTTTGCCTTAACACATAACAGTGCATTGGATGCAACACAAGCCCACACTGACTTGACACTGATGCCCAGGATTTGTACCAGTTGTCAACTTTGTACTAGCCGGTAAATAGTAACTTCAGTACAACCATGTAAGCAATTAACTTCGGCTTAGATTTGCAGATTATACAACATGTAAAAGGCATGGAAAAAAACAAACAAACAAACAAGGTCTTTAAAATTAAAATCTTCCACCAAAAAACTCTACTATAATAGTGCTATAGTGCTCAACGTGATAAAACTTTCTTGTTTTATTCCCACTGAGGTTCTTAAGTTATTATCGAGGGATTTTCTCAGATTACTCAGAGCCTCGTTTATTCAATTGTTTATTCCTTACAACATTAGAAAAGATTATTTGTTAGATTTTTATGACCACATTTTTCTTCATGTCAGTAAAATTAAATATTAAAAAAAAGTTTGCCTGATTTTTTTTTTTTTAATTAATGGAAAAAAAAACCTTAAATTCATGTAAATCATTTCTTCCAGTATTCTTTTATCTCCCCTTTGGCTAGATTAAATAGTTTATTTTGTGAGCCTGTCTAAAATAAATGAATGTATAACAACAATTCAAGGAATTTTTATTGAACATATTGAATTTTATTTTAATTATTATTAATTATTCACACAATTAAGGTATTTTATCCACCATTATGCACAGTGATAACATTTTTTTGAATTTAAATTTAAAAATCTGATAAGAGTTTGTGACAAAAGCTTGGAGTCATGATGAATGGGAACAGTCTTGTAATTCTTTAATTCTCTGTTGAACAATCTTTCTACTGAATTTGGTATTGAAGCCCAAAAAAACGAAAAATACCAATTCTCTTGATATTTCTGACTATATCTCACTCAAATATCAAATTGAGGTTAAACCATATCTTACCACTAGACATTTTTAGAATATGAACATGAATATTGATATTTGTTAATGCACACTCCATCTAAAATCCAAAACTTGTTGAATGGTCATGTCAGTCCTCAAATCATGCAACTTCCTGAACGCCAACCTTCTGACTTTTGTCCAGGTCAAACAAACCGTATCTCCATAACTTTACCACCTTATCAGCACGCAGAGTGCACCGTGTTTTACAGTTATGTCATGGGGTCAAGTACAGTTAAAATCCAATGTAATGGGGGCTCCGAGGCCCTGGGGGGGGGGGGGCCCCCCCTTTTTGGGATCCTCATAAAAAA